TAGGATCCCAGCAAGATAAGCATCCAGATTTCTCCGTGGCCAATCACCAAGTCTAGGGGAGGCACAGGGGGGCCCCTTGCGCACTCCCCAGGGGACCCAGAAGTGGACCAGAAGTACTTCCAATCCATTTCTGGGTTTGCCGCCAAGCGTGTGGGGTGCTACCTGCGCTCCTGTGGGCTGCTCCATGCACCCCAACATTGCAGAGTTCATGAGCCATGCTGGTACCTTGAGGTATGTAGAGAAAAATGTTTAAAGCTGTGTCTATGTCTGAATCATTGATTCTGTCTAAAACTACAATCGGGCAAATGTCTTCCCTCCCAGACCCACAGGCTTGGGAACTCAAGTAGTCCTTGTATCCAGGCAAGCATCCTATGTGCAGATGCCAGGGAGTTCAGATGTCATACTTGATTTTAGCCAAAAGGCCTACACAAAAAAGAAAATGTAGAAGTAGGGCTGCAAAACCCTCCTTCAGGGTAGTTCTAGCAGTCACTACTATTATAAAACAAATGAGTTTAGTGTTAGCTCTCAAAGAAGAGTCACATGTTCATTTGATTCCATCTTCCAGAAGTCACTGAAGGTTCTTGCCCACGCAGTGTTCTGCAGCAGGTCTGTGCAAGCACAAGGGATATACATCACACACACTCCAGCCAAGAGGGCATGGAATGGGGAAATGTCTTCACTATGGCATTATTATACCTAGTTCCCCCAGGACTGCTACTTTCTTTGGAGTTTTGCATGTGGGGAGGGCACAAGCAACACCAACTCCTTAATGTTACAGAAAGCTTCAGCTTCTTCAGCCTGGAGCACCCAAGGCCATGAATTTATTTGGAGGAAAGTGCCAAATATAGTGTTTCACTGGAATAACATGAAGGAAATGACCCCAAGGGGAACCTTAAAGACTTCCTGTTCCCTGTCTTGGTTTGCCCAGTGTCCAAAGAGTGACTGTTCTATTCCCAGAGTTACAATATTGTCTAATTTAGATATAAGAACAATTTCTAGGCCACAGACTCATTTGTAGAACCAAGATGACTGACCTTTTAAATAGTTCACTCCCAGTCTAGAGATTTTTAAGTGACCTTCTCAGGTATGGTAATCATGCCCTTTGTGAAAGTGTCTTTCCCTTTACTTACCCTTGTCTTTGTATTGATGCTCTTAGCAAATTATGTAATTGCTCAGCCCCTCTTATGACAACCAGATTTTGCCAATTTCCTTTTAACATATGCATGATTTTTATCCCCTTTCTTGTTTTCTTGGAGTTAGTAATCCAAAACAATTAAGTGTTTCATAGTTTCATAGTTAGTAGGGTCAGAAGGGACCTGAGCAGATCATCAAGTCCAACCCCCTGCCATGGCAGAAAAGAGTACTGGGGTCAAACGACCCCAGCAAGGTGACTGTCTAGCCTTGTCTTAAAGAACCCCAAGGTAGGAGCCAGAACCACTTCGCTTGGAAGTTGGTTCCAGATCCTAGCCGCCCAGACAGTGAAGTAGCGCCTCCTGATATCTAATCTGAATTTACCCTCTGCCAGCTTGTGACCGTTATTTCTAGTCACTCCTGGTAGTGCTCGGGGGAACAGGGGCTCCCCCAATGCCTGCTGGTCCCCCCCGACTAGTTTGTAACAGGCCACTAGATCCCCAGTCAGCCTTCTCTTGTGGAGGCTGAACAGGTTCAGGTCCCTTAGCCTGTCCTCGTAGGGCCTGCCCTGCTGCCCCCTGATCATATGAGTGGCCCTCCTCTGGACCCTCTCCATGCTGTCCACATCCCTCTTAAAGTGCGGCGCCCAGAACTGGACACAGTACTCCAGCTGCGGCCTGACCAGTGCCGCATAGAGGGGGAGGATCACCTCCTTGGACCTGCTCGAGATGCATCTGTGGATGCACGACAAGGTGCAGTTGGCCTTCCTA